CATGTTCTTTGCGTATTTGGCTCTTACGGGTGGGTAAAAAGTTCCTTTTTTGGCTGTGGCCTGACGATATGCATTGAATTAGTTCAAGTTGGCCTTAATTGATTTTTTTGTTACAGCTCACTACAGAGGAGATCAAGAAACTGCGAACAAATTCTTTGACAAGTTTCAAGCTGTGCTAGTCAATGATGACAACGGTTAGTTTATAATATTGAAACCTATCTAGCTAGTCGAGGACTTTCAGTGCCTGGTGGACTTATCGTCCCTGAATGCTACTGCGTTGAGGAATGTTATATGGAACGCGAACGCGCAAAACCAAACAGTACTGACCTCTATCCGGTCAGCCCACAAGAGTTTGGACATCATCTTTGGAGCAACTCTATATATGTGATCTTGTTGCTTATACGTAAGTCAAATTTCTTTTGAAAAACGTTGATTTCGGAAAAAAAGTCGCCTTTTTACAGGCGATGGCCTCATCCATAAGGGCGATTTGGATCCGATAAATCGCCATATGCCCGCGTCTCAACGTCCGATGCAATTTAACAGGCATTCGGAGTTCCAGGCAGGGATCTGAAGGGGTTTGCGGCATTCGCTTTAATCAGTGCAGTTTTTAGGGAAGTATGGAAGGTGATCCAGTTGTGCAAATAGCTTTGATTGCTGAATCTGCTCACCTGCAAATGAGATTGTCTACTTATGGCATTAGTTGTCAAACACCACATGAAGTGGAACCTGTGCAGATATGGCCTAGCTGGAGAATGGTCAAGGTGATCTATTACCTTTACTCTGATTTCTTAGACGCTTATAGTAAACCTTATGTTTATGCAGCTTTTCGAATGTCTTGGACGAGATGAAAAATTAGGATTGAGTGGTAGACCTCCTCGACCATTTGGACCGCTTAGCACCTCTAAGGTGAGTGCCGCAATCTTACCGGGTTTTGCTTATTTGTTGTTTTGATTCAAGGTATTTCGCGTGTTTGGAGATACTGTGTTATGTTATCCATTGCTGTTCGAAGTCAAGGACTTCTATGTTAGCTCGGATCCATCAGTGTTGATTGACGATATCAAGGTAACGCTTCTTCTTTTTGAACTTCCTCTCTATTCTTTTCGTCATACAATGTTGTTCCACAACTCTCTACACTAAAATTCTGTAGATGCTTTCGGTTTCCTTTTAATTTATGCAAACTATATGGTATTGCAGCAGTAAATGATGAGACAGTTTTTTAAACACATTTACAATTAGATGCTTTTTTCAATCTTTCTGCCGCTTTGGGTTGATTGTTTATGCAACCTAGTGATTCCATCGTCCGAATGGAGCCGAGATTGATCTTTGGTTGCCCTCCCACTTTTTTAGTGCGAACATATGAAAAACATTAGCTTTTCGGAAAACTCTTTTTGCTTCAGTCATGTCATCTTAGCTAATTTCACCCATTTACAGCGAGATATAGAGTTTGTATCTCGTCGTTGGAAATTGGCTGGGCGCCCTACTATGTGTCTTCTGATCAGAGAAGAAAACATTGTTGGAGAGTATTTCGACCATATCTTGGATCTTCTCGTACAATTAAAGAATGGCCACGTCAATGGAGTTCGCGTTCGCATGGGACGAGTACATGTGAGCACCATATACCCACTTTTAATATTAGCATTATTTTCCGCTTTCAGCAACTACTTAACACGAGCTGTATAGAACACATTGATTTTGCTTCTTCCGACGATGTCGAGTTTGACATTGATGTTCTGGAAGAAACAGAGGGAAATAATCAAATTCTGTCAAGGCTTAGCCTGCGCGATGGAATTGAGGACGATATGACTGTGGAGGTATGCACTCAGCAATCCCTGTAAGCATCAAGGAAACTTAGAAGGCTCTTTGTAGGAGGACATTCGAGTGCTGAGAGATGACGATTTGTACGAAATTATCAAGAAAGATGATATGGACAAGCCGAGACAGCTAGCTTTCGCACTGGCTGCAATGTGGATGAGACGCCATCCGGATACACCGATAGATGGATGTAAGTTTGCTTGTTATTTCTCACCTTCATCCTT